AGAGAGAGAGAGAGAGAGAGAGAGAGAGAGAGAGAGAGAGAGAGAGAGAGAGAGAGAGAGAGAGAGAGAGTGTTCGACGCTTTACAAAAGCAGGGGAAAACCTTATGTTTTATGCACCTCATGAGTTGCATGAGGGTAGAGATATTTTCACATTTATGACAAATTTTGACTGAAGAGATGCAATTATCTAAATTTCTCTCTGTTTTATTTCAATGTCTTTATTTTGAGGGGCATCATTTTTTATGGGGAAATTTCATCCGTAGCTTGTGCAAGGGTAGGATTTTCCTAATACCTCCCTTGTGCCATATCCCTTTTAGGATTGTTCCTAATTTCATTCCCTTGATTATCTGATCAAAAAAATAAAACAAAGGTAAAGTTGGTGTCGTGCTTTTTTTGTTACTCTGCTTGTGCGTTGTATCATGGATCGATGTTTAAGTTGTCATCATACCCGAGTGCCATGCTACACTATTTATTGTTTTTCCCAAGAGTCGTTTAGGACCATGAAACTGTCATTATATCATATTGTTGTCATACTTCAGTACCATGCTCCATATTTTGTTGCTTTGCCCAACAGTTATTTGGGACCATGCATGGCCCGTGAAATTGTCACTATACCCAACTACTAATTGACTTACCGTGAGGGCATGGGTGAGCAACCCGTAATTTGTTCGTTGATGTGGTTGGGAAAGGGAAGGGTAGTAATTATGTTGATTTTATGTTTTGGTATGTTCAATGTATACAACTACTAGAGTATGTGGGGGGGGGGGGGTCCCAACCAGTGCTTTGTTCACGATTTTCATCGGTTGCTGGACCCTGTTTCCAGCAGGTGTCGCTCTCCACTAATAGACAGGAGCATTCTGTCATAAGTCTTATATAACCTCATCTAGTGGGCTGAAGCAGAACGTTTTGGGGAAAAACAGAGAAAAAGTGTGTGTGTGTGTGGCATTGTGTGCTCATATCACCTCCTCTAGTGGGCTGAAGCGGAACGTTTTGCGGGGAAAAAAAAAAAGTGTGTGTATGTGTGCACTTGTGTATACGAGAGTGAGTAGTGTGTGTGTGTGTGTGTGTGTGTGTGTGTGTGTGTGTGTGTGTGTGTGTGTGTGTGTGTGTGTGTGTGCGCG